AAAAATGCTGAAATCAATCTTTTCCTGTGTACAGACTCCTCCTTCAATAAAAATCGGAAGGGAGGGGGGGTCTGTACACAGGCTATCAATCTTCGACTTCAAAAACGTATAAGCGTTACTGACGTTGACGGTAAAAAATAATTTATATACATGTAACTTGTCCTTGGGAGAGTACTGCAATATTCCTATTTTCTGTCATTTCTCTCAGTTTCCCTCTTAAAACAGTGCATCCTTTTCGGAATTGTCTTGCAGTTCTCACTCCCCCCACCCTATACAAAGTTGAAAGGAAAAAAAACTTACGCGTGCAACATTGTTTGTGGGGTGAGGGAGGGTTGGAACTTATTTAGAAACGCAAAGTGTCCCAAGACTTTTGTCCATGATTGTAGGTCTGGTATAGGCTAAAGGTTTCAGGGTCCCAGCGGCACATCCCCACCCAAAAAGTCCTAAAGTACCCCCGCCCTTGGTGGATTTGGAGGCTAAGTTCACACAGCACCATGCAGAAGAATTTTTTAACGGAAATACCATATAATCTGTGTTTCGATGTTAAGTTTTGCGATTCTGTTTTTAGTCCTCTTTTTTTGTTTTTGACGTTTTGTGATTCTGTTATGAGTTTTCTGATTCTGTTTTCTGTTTTCTCGTTTTTTGTGTCTTGTTTTGTCCATATCAGCCACCGTATCGGAGGCATTTACTATCAGTTATAATATAACGGCCCAAACATTTTACTGGTGCCTTTTTCAATCTCAGGCAGTCAGATATAGTATGAAGTGGTGGTTAACTCAAGATTGTAGTTTAAGAATTTTGTTTTATATAGGAAATTTTTTTTTCTTCCTCTGATTCCCCTGTTAATTGTAATTCCTATTTGTCATAACTGCTTAGTTTAGGTGTGACTAGTACTCATATGTGTGATATAGTGTCATTGTTATCTTAGTGATTAGTAGGAATTGTTGTAATGAACAATATTTATCAATTTTTTTATTCATTTATTTAATTTTGTATTGTCAGTGTTTTTGTTAGCTATTTTATTTTATTATCCAAGTATATTTTGCGTGGTTAATAAATTACAATTTTTTTTGGCCGAAGGAAAAAAAAAGGTTCTTGTATTTTGGGGTAGTTATTGGCAACTCAGGCTCAGTAGGTTTTAGTTTCAATGAAGGAGATGTAGTTGTAGCTCACCGAATAAATAAATCTCGTTTTATTCATTTATTTATTCACAGCTGTATTCTAAACGAAACTGATTGCAGAATGTACATTTGTATATTTAGTATAGGAAAAAATTACTGTAAAATAAATAAATAATTAGTTGATAAAAAAAGCACTTTCTTTGTAATATAAATTTGCAATTTCAAGGTCAAAATAAACTCCTTGGTTGAAATACCTATCATAATATTTTAATACTGGAACCCACATATAAGAACTTTTTGATCTTACTTGGCTAAACTGGCTCTTATATTTTTTTGGGTATACCCAAAATGGCAAATTCTGCAAGCAGTTTCTTACACCAATAGGTTCTCGCAGCACGGATTTTGCTGTAATACAATGGCACCTCCTCAATACAGACAGCAATGGGATAGACACGGTCTAGTCCTGAGTGTTCCTTTGGTGTTCCGAGACTTCGCGCGGATAACGGAACAAGAGAGAGCGCTTAGGGACTAGGCTGCGACAGCAATTCAGAGCTGGCAGAATTAAGACCAAATAGTGTCTGTACGGGAGATCTTCTATTGAATATAAAGGTCGTCTTCATCATTGTTCAAGTCATGTCATGGTGCAAGAACTTTTCTCGAAGGTCACTGGTACACGGAGAGAGTAAACTTCGACAGATGGTAAGATAAGTAAACTCAAGAGCCATAACAGAACAGAGAGGGAGTCTCCCAATCACGATATCATAATTTCAAACAAGTTATTTTTAGAACTATGCAGACCATGCGGAAACAGTTTCCGGTAAACTGGTGGACTTCCGGAAGACTCGCTTTCACGATTCAGCGCGCCAAAGCGAGGCGGAGTCAACAAATGAAAAAAATGGCGGCCTAAGTGGAGGGATGATGTGGAGGGACGTTAGGTTGATTCAATCGTCCTACTTCAACGAAAAACCTACCATAGAAACTTGTTAAAACTTCTACACAAACGGGTCCTTTACAAGCAATCGTAAGAATACAGTTAACGCTTTTTCGTTAGACAAGACAAGACAAGACAAGGCATGCATTTATTATCATAATATTAGAAGTACAATTTTTTGGCACGCAGTTAGCAAGAAAACGCTAGTCGAGGCGTGCCAAATTAATTCTATTACAAATCAGATAAAGTATTATAATAAGTAAAAAGCAAAGAAAAAGAAAAGAAGAAATATGTGTAATGAATTCAAAAGCAAGAAAGACAAATCTGTAAGTTAATGCAACCTGTGAAAGAGGCTAAGGTTTAGGATTTCACGATTTTATTTCTCGTGTTATCATGGTTGCATCAAGGTAATCATCTTTGTCTTTTAATATTCGAAGAGCACACTGATTAATTTTCGTTTGAATACTTTTTTTGACATATCTCTCATTCTACCTGGTATCTCATTCCATACTTTAGCGCCAAAAATTGGGACGGCTTGTCTTAGTTTTTCAAGATTAAATTTTTTGATGTATATATTATTTTTAGAGGATGATCTTGTGTTATATTTATGAATAGATGATGTCTGCGAGAACAAGTTAACGATTTTTGAGGGTGCAGAATTAGTATGAATATCATGCATAAGGTAAGATACGGACTTAAAATAGACAAAGCTAATTGGCAGGATATTTGCATCAATAAAAAGAGGAATGGCATGAACTTTCCTGTTGGCAAAAAATATGAAACGGATAACTTTTTTCTGAAGCAATAAGATTTCTGTTAAATGTGTTTTTGACGCCTGCTCCCAAACTATCAAACCGTAAGATAAATAAGGCAAGATTAACGCACGGTAAATATTTAGCAAGGTATGTGGAGGAACAAAGTGCCTCAATTTAGCGATTAAACCAACCGTTTTACTTAATTTAGTAGCTACATTGTCAATCTGTATTTTCCAACAAAGATTTTTGTCAATCAGAATGCCTAAATATTTAACATAATTTTCATTTCTAAACCAACGTATTGATTGGTTTCAGTATCGAAGATCTTAAGTTGGGGAAGGTAGTCAACAGACTTCTAGCTGGTAAGGATGAAAAATAACAAAAATTTTTTGGTATTAAGGGTTAATTTATTTTAGGCCAGCCAAAGATACAACTTTTAAGCTCAGAATTTACTGTTGACTCAAGTGACCTTAGGTTCTTGTTGGCATACAGTATGTTAGTATCATCAGCAAAGAGGTAGAAATTAAAAGTATCAGAGCAAGTATGAATATCGTTAATATATAAGAGGAAAAGCAACGTACTTAGTAGACCCCTGTGGAACACCATTAGATATTAGAGCTGCATCAGATAATTGTTTGTTTATTTCTAGTGTTTGTGATCTGTTGCACAAAAAGGATTCAAACAAGTTATTAATTATTCCACGAAAACCATAATGATTTAACTTATTTAGAAGAATTTGATGGTTAACCGTATCGAAGCCTTTCTTTAAGTCAATAAAAAATTCTACAGGTAAATAAACGTTTATCCATATTAGACTGAATTGCACTAACTATATCTACAATGGCATTTTCAGTATAAAAAACCTTCTCTAAACCCATACTGAGCTGAAAACAAAATATTCTTAACATTAATAAAATGCATCATTCTTTTATACATAACTTTTTCAAAGACTCTGTTAAATATAGATAAGAGAGAAATCGGTCTATAGTTATTTGCATCTGTCTCATCCTCAGTTTTAAACACAGGTATGACTTTAGCCTTTTTGAGTTTTGAAGGGTCACTCCCAGATGTGACCGACAAATTGACGATTTTAGCCAAAATGTCGTTGATAATAGTACTTGAATATTTCAAGAGTTTAGTAGCTTTTTCGTTAGTTCAATAGCTACAAAACAGTTCAATAACCACCCAGTAGTTCAATGACCACACATCAGTTCATTGAGCGTATAGACTACATGTGGTTGCAGGACAAATAGCCACAAATACGTTAGATTTTTTTTAAAAATTTAAATGTGTAGCATTAACACCAGTACGTGGTAAATACTCATTTAGCGATGACACGAAAATTAAATTGAGAAGTAGCTATATTACACTGTTATTAATCTCTAGTGAGCTCACTTATGTAAACAGGAACATAGACTGATGGAAATTAAAAAGTTATAGTCTGCTCAGAAGGTCAGTCATTCTATATATCCCCGATTTCCATCAAGCATCCATCCCAAGCATCGTATTTCTAAAAATGTTCGGCATGCATTTATGACGGGGCAGCCAGAAAGGTCATCAATCAAAATTAATTGACGTTGCTTCATTTTTTCGTCAATGGTATTTCGCTTCGTTTGGGCGAAGCAGAAATGAAAATTTATAAGAGATCGTTGCAAGCTCTCCTTTCCTCCGCCCCTCGCGGCTCTCTTCGCTGACCATAAATGGAGACATTTCTAGAAGGCTAAAAGCATTTTGAGTCCATACTGTTTTTTACTTTTCAGGTCACTGTATAATGTGTGGTGGTGTTCAGGCGGACGGCGATGGTTTAGTAGCTTGTATGACTGCCAGCGCTGCATCTAAGGTGCAAACTTCGGGTGAAAATTCACAAAATTTGTACAGAACTGCTTCTTCGGAACCAAAGTGTTGCAAAGAACAAAAACTGTTGACATCAACTGATGAGGTACCACATCATACTGTCTCAGAATCTTCATGTTGTGAGAATCCATGAGGTTGTGTGACAAAAAGAACAAGAACATGCTGAACTTCGGACGACTTGAGAACAAAAGTGAAGGTATAAGCATGAATCCGACGTACATTTGCCTCTTTTAGTACACCTCCCAAATCTGTGGCAGGCTCCACACAACAATATTCTTGATAGTTAAGTTCGGATGTTTAGCCAGTCCAAATTCTTTTGTCTTCTCGCTGTTTTCCGGGTCAAAAGTTGTTCGAGTGGTTGCATTTGCCATGGCAGTTCTCTTGCATGAATCCTTTACAAATATGCCAGAACTTCCTTCCCAGAACACCTTCCTGCGCACTTCGACAAGAACCTCTCTCGTGATATTGTCGACAATATTTTTCTTAGGTCAATTCACACCCGCTATCTCGCCATTGAAATCTTTCACGACGACTAAACAAGGATAAGCTTGACTCATCAGCCAATTTTTCGCTCCTAACTCTGATTTCCTACTTGCCAAGGGCGATGATTGTTTTAAAAGAACGGACAGTTTGACAGAACCACCACTATCGCAAATATAAATAAACAGCTTTCTCTGCCCAAAACATCATTCGCCATATTGTTTGTCACAAGTGGAAATGTCTCAGTTCATTTCGAGAAAAAAGTGAGAACATGTCCCAAGGGGAATTACGTTGAGAACGGTTGTAAAAGATTGTCATGAACAACGCACATTTTAGCGCCTTTACCTTCACAAAGGGTATGAAACGGTCGGCCTGTCTCCTTTCCTCTCAATTGTAGTATATGACGTGTCTTGAATACAAAATTTGTTTTGTCTGCACTCAAGCACTAACCACGTGGCATGGCTGCTCATGTTAACATCAGCTGATCTTTTAAAAGCCGCCCGGAAGGATAAAAAAAGTGTGCAACAGGCCTAAATGTTGGCAAACGAGAGTGTGCCACTTTTCTAGTCAATGTAACCGAACAAGAGATCATTCTCTCTTGAACCGAATTATGTGTTCACAACTGACTCTAGCTTAATTTACTTTTTTAGGCAAAAAGAATGCTAATTCGAATGATGGGGTCCGATGCAGTCTGTTCTGCAAGGCCATATTTCCCCAGGGGTGAGGTACTTTAGGAATTTCTGGGTGGGGATGTGCCGCTGGGTCCCTGGAACCCTTAACCTATACCAGAGCTAGTTCAGCTAAATTTTGCTACCCCATACTAGAGTAAACCCCAAAATCCCTCTATACTAGAGTAGCTGTTTCCCTAGTCTAGATAAAATCTTCAACCAACTGATCAGTTCCCCTGAAAATGATACCCTATTCTAGACCCATCCTCGGAGACCCAGGGGCAGTCAGTCGGGTCGATAAAATGTTCGTGGTGAAAGTTTACTGTAAGATCGAGACGAGCCCCTGGGCACTTACTCTTACCGAACCAGTTCCAGAAGCGTTTGAATTGCCTGCCTCTGATTGGCCAGAAAAAAAAAATTTTCTGGCCAATCAGTGAAGAGAAGCTACCGAGTGACTATTGTGTTTTCTTACACGACGTAGTTTTCCTCATCGATCGCTATAGTTGCGTAGCGCGTTCAACGGGAAGGTTTCACGAGGAAAGTTTCAGAACAAAATGTTAACAACCTGCCAAAACTACAACCTCTAGCACGGCTACAAGAAACAAACACTCTCCGATGAATTTTTAAGGCGGATCTTTCCAAGGTATCGTAAATTTTTATTGCTGATACGATACGCGATGCATGACTTTCACTGTCCACACCTTAATATGCTCACATTGTTTAGTATACAACTCCAAGCTTACATTTAGATATCCATGTTCGTTGCACGACTTCTCAAACTTTCTACAGCGTGAAAATTTCCGTTGCACGGGCCACGAAACTACGTCAATTGATCGTGGGAAATGCCGGCCAGCGCATAGCTCCAGTGCCTTCTTCTTGCTTTTGCTCCAAATTTTAAGCTTAAAAGCTTACAGCAGTTGACCGTACGAATTCTGCCGAAGTTGATAGTAGTGTTAACTTTGGATTCGAGGGAAACGTCCAGCAAGCGCTTGAAGAAGGCTTGCAAAGATTTGTTATTGAGAAGATTGTGAAAAGAAGAGATGTTCTTGGGCAATATATAGAAGAGTCTAACCTTCCAAATGTTGCCTGTAAGCTAGGGGGTTTAAAAATCGTTAGATGCCAAAGGTTATGAATTCCCTTGTAATCCTTTGGTAATAGTGATTTCACCTCTCATGTCAGTTGTTGAGGACCAGGTAAAGTACTCGAGGTCACTAGGAATTCAGGCCGCTTACTTAGGGGAAAGCAAAACGAAAGATCGAGAAATATTGAATGGATAGGGAGCATTTTCTTTGTTGTATGGAAGCCCGAAATCATTAACTGGGGGACAAGAAATTCAGGGCAATGTTCTCTACGGAGTTTTACCAGAAGAATCCTGTTGCAGGTACATACAGCTGTTCATTGGTAAGTATGCTGATTTGTTTACTAGAAAGGGTGCTACACAGGATTCATTGTGGGGAGTTCTGAAGGGGTAAAATGGGATTTAAGTCACTGGCAGGGGGATTCTATCACTGAGAATGGAAAAAATGTAAAAATGGGAATTGAGGGTTAAACAGTTTCAATGGGATTGTTATCCCCTACAGGACCCTCATTATACTTAACAGTAGATCTGGCTTTTTATTCAAGGATGCTCAGTAATTTTATGTCTAAAAGCTGACAGACACTTCACAAGAATTATCATGTTTTTTTTGTCACCATCTATCGACAATTAAAAGCTGATAAAGTAAGCCTTGTGACTGCTTAAGATAATAGTGCAATTGAACATTTACATATTATAAATGGAAAAACATCCCATAATACAGAACTACAGATGCCATTACATTAATTTTATTTTTTAGCTGTTGAGATTGGTTTTTTACTTTATAATTATTGGAATTCACATGTCTACTTATACTACTGCTTGACTTATAGAAATACTAGGGAGCTTCAATATTTTATTTTATTTTAACAACAACCTGCAGAAGAGAAAAAAATTCTTCCTTTTTTTTGATGACAGTAATGAAAACAACAGAATCATTCCAAGCCACTTATGTTGTGACATCAGTGCCAAAGACTGTTAGTCTGCTTAAAGAAAATCAAGATGATCTGAGACAGGAATTTCAAGAATCAAATCTTCACTGCTTGTGTTCTAGAATTTGTATTCTCTGATTGTCTTCTATAGGAAACAATAATTGATAATTGTCATAAACTATGTACTGTGGAAGGTATTTTAGAGACACTGTGTGTAATGGTGACCATGCAATGAAGATTTTTACCTTTCTGAAGAGGGTGTTTAAAGATTTAAAAATAATTATAAATGAAGAATATTATTGTCAGATTATGAGAATTATAATAGGAAGTTGTAAAATATCAAACAAATGCATCAAAGGAAAATTGTTAATATTGCAGCATTGTTCTTTCAAAATAAGTCCAATCTTGTAACATCAATTGCAAGGGAGTTAAAACAATGGCACTGTGGATGTGTTTGAGGGGGTCAGTAGGGGGAAACATCAAGCCAATCATAGATAAAAAGTTTGGCAAAAAATCACATATTATGTGAAGCTAATTTTATACATGTATTTGTTAAAAGATATCTTATAATGAAAATTCATTTGTACTATGTTAGCCATAATTCTAATCACAGTGAAGATTAACCCAGTAAGCCAGACCCTGACCCAGGTCCTTGAAATCAAGAGCTGAAGTTGGATCTTTGGAAAGTGTCCCTATTCCTTGGTCTCTTCTCCCTGGAATTTCCTTAAGAGCGTTCACCTCTTGTAAAGTTTTAGTGACTACAAAAATATCTATATAGACATCCCACCCTTCCACGATTTCTCAACTCTATACCTACACGTGTCACACCCTGCGCCTTTTATCGCCCTCCAAAACTTTCACACCAACCACTTTCAAACATTTTTCGCAAACTCAACTTTATTTTTTTTCTTCGCTTATCCGTAAAAACAAACCCACACAGCCTGCAAAAATCGACCTCACTTAAAAAGTCACGATTCAGCACATAACCGGACCGAGATTTCGAACTAAACACAACGGCTGTATTTAAAATACTTACGGTAAGGGAGTTTGCGCGAAAGCAAGAAGGTGCGCACTGCATCAAGCCAGCAATTCCACGATCAATCGACGCAGTTGCGTGGCCCGTGCAACGGAAATTTTCACGCTGTAGAAAGTTCAGAAGTCGTGCAACGAACATGGACATCTAAAATGTAAGCTTGGGTTGTATACCAAACAATGTGAGCAAATTAAGGTGTGGAAAGTGAAAGTCATGCATCGCGTATCGTATCAGCAATAAAAATTTACGATACCTTGGAAAGATCCGCCTTAAAAATTCATCGGAGAGTGTTTGTTTCTTGTAGCCGTGCTAAAGGTTGTAGTTTTTTGCGGGTTGTTAACATTTTGTTCTGAAACTTTCCTCGAGGAACTTGCCCGTTGAACGCGCTACGCAACTATAGCGATCGATGAGGAAAACTACATCGTGTAAGAAAACACGAGAGTCACCCGGCAGCTTCTCTTCGCTGATTGGCCAGAAAAATTTTTTCTGGCCAATCAGAGGCAGGCAATTCAAACGCTTCTGGAACTGGTTCGGTAAGAGTAAGTGCCCAGGGGCTCGTCTCGATCTTACAGTAAACTTTCACCACGAACATTTTATCGACCCGACTGACTGCCCCTGGGTCTCCGAGGATGTTCTAGACCCAAATGTTCTGATTTATATACCCTATCCTCCTAGAGTAAACTGCTTGAAAGCCATACCCTTCACAGCGGCACATACCTATATAGCCCATAATTGGCAGTATCCCCCCCCACCCCCGGAATATTTCCGTTTCCACGATTCCAAGAAATAATGTGTTACTCAGAATATGCGAACGGCCATCCCTCACGGAAGAGAGTTAAAACACATGTAGAAGACTGAAGTTCTAAGCCTTTACGCTGCCGCTAGAGAGAATTGTGCAATGTCTTAGACGTTTGGACGACATTTGTAAACATTGTTCATTCAATCATAGCACCAATTTTATCCATTTGGAACCAGCTAAACTGAAAGATGGCGTCGTGGGTACAGACGCCGCCAAAGAAAACATTAATGGCACGGTTGTTCCTCTCAAACTGCAAAGGTTACTTCGGCAATGCTTTGTTAGTGGCCTTCATCGCTGTAATGGTGTTGCTGATGACTACAGTTGTAATTGAGTTAGTCTATCACTTTAGACCTTACTACTGGAGTGTAATGATCTTTATCTATTCTCAGGTGCAGCTGGGTCTGGAGTTAGTTGTCACACAAGGAACGGTCTTTATGCACAAAGTGATATGCCTTTGTTCATGGTTGATTTCCAGTTTATTCAATGTACTGCGCTTGAGTTATGATTTTCTCGTGTTGGCAGCTTCGGAGGCAAGTTCCGTCTTCTGCAAAATAACGATGATTGTATATTCTCAAATGCAGCTGGTTATCACAAAAGGAACGGTCTTAATGCACAACCTGATATGCCTTTGTTCATGGCTGATTTCCAGTTTATTCAATATGTTGCGCTTGAGTTATGATTTTCTTTTGTTGGCAGCTTCGGAGGCAAGTTCCGTCTTCTGCAAAATAACGATGATTATATATTCTCAAATGCAGCTGGGTCTGGAGTTAGTTATCACAAAAGGAACGGTCTTAATACACAACCTGATATGCCTTTGTTCATGGCTGATTTCCAGTTTATTCAATGTACTGTGCTTGAGTTATGATTTTCTTGTGTTGGCAGCTTCGAAGGCAAGTTCCGTCTTCTGCAAAATAACGATGATTATATATTCTCAAATGCAGCTGGGTCTGGAGTTAGTTATCACAAAAGGAACGGTCTTAATGCACAACCTGATATGCCTTTGTTCATGGCTGATTTCCAGTTTATTCAATGTACTGTGCTTGAGTTATGATTTTCTTGTGTTGGCAGCTTCGAAGGCAAGTTCCGTCTTCTGGAAAATAACAATGATTATATATTCTCAAATGCAGCTGGGTATGGAGTTAGTTATCACACAAGGAACGGTCTTAATGCACAACCTGATATGCCTTTGTTCATGGCTGCTTTCCACTTTACTCAATTTACTGCGCTTGAGTTATTATTTTCTTGGGTTGGCAGCTTCGAAGGCAAGTTCCGTCTTCTGGAAAATAACGATGATTATTTATCCTCAGATGAAGCTTGGTCTAGAAATAGTTATTACACAAGGAACGGTCTTAATGCACAACCTGATTTGTCTTTGTTCATGGTTGATTTCCAGTTTATTCAATATAGTACGCTTGAGTTATGATTTTCTTGTGTTGGCAGCTTCGGAAGCAAGTTCCGTCTTCTGGAAAATAACAATGATTATTTATCCTCAGATGAAGCTTGGTCTAGAAATAGTTATCACACAAGTAACGGTCTTAATGCAAAACCTGATATGCTTTTGTCTATGGTTGATTTCAGTTTGTTTACTGCAGTGCGCTTAGGTTGGGATTTTCTTGTGTTGGCAACTTCGGAAGCAAATTTATTCTGCTGGCGATTAACGATGGTGATTTATTCTCAGATGCAGCTTGGTCTGGAGTTAGTTATCACACCAGGAGTGGATTTAATCTTTTGGTTAATCTCCAATTTATCCACCACAGTACGCTCGAGTTACACCTTTATAGTGTGGCAAGCTTCAAAATTAAGTTCAGCTGTGACGTCCGTCTTTTGGTGGCTCGTCGGTAATGTTTCAACCTCACTGAAGGGAATTTCTCGTCTTGGTAGTGTTGCCAAACGTCTTGTAGACTCAGATTCACCCTCAGACTTTGAACTTATCTGGAACAACTGGCAGTCTCCCGTTTGTTGCGTGATTGCACTTACTGGAACTGCGACTTGCCTTATAGCAATTGTGGCTTGGTGTCATGGCAAACTGGCTAAGCTAAGACTTAAAAACCGCCAATACGTAAGAACAGGTATGTAGGCAAATACTATCCTTGGTTCAGATGTTTGCTAAAAAACTATCAATTATTATCGTTTTTGATAAGATATTTTACCTTTCGTAACCAATCTACTGAGGACTCACTTATATCCTGAAGCACCGTCTGCGATCACTCAATCGATTGATCGGCGATCAATCAGGTTTTAAGGCTCTTGGCTTCGCCTCGAATTTTTTAAGTCTGATAATACACTCCTACTCTTTTTTAAACAGTACTTTAAGTTTCCTCCACAGGAAGTAGGAACTGAATGAATTTTGGTATCTCTAGGAAGATGTACTGAGAACTGTCTAAACTGTCATTCTGTATTGTCTGTCTCTCATTATCATTTCCGTAAGATTAATATATGCGTGATAACACAGACGATGTTTTAAGAGTTTGCCAGTTTTACAGCTGTTACACCCACCCATGCTACAGGGTAAGGGACAGTGTTGCAGCTGTGGTCTTGCATGTTGTTACACAGTGTTACATAATTCATAGTAAAACATGATGTTCTCCCTTGTCTTTTCGATCGTCCCGATAAGATGTTTTTATCATCAAAGCATAGTGCTCCCGTTTTAACTCTATCATTGTTAAAGGATGATAAAAAAAATGAAAAAAATCAGGAAAATAAATAAACCACAATGAGAATGACGTGTAATTGTCTACCACTACTAATAGCATTTGCCAACTATTGTCAATATAATTGTTCGGTTATAATCAGTATAGTATAGCCAAAATCTCTTTCTAAAATCATCCATTAAGTCTCCTTGCTTGTCATTGGTTTATTAAAAAAACCACGTCAAAACCAGCTCCCAATTGGCTTGATGCTGTAACTAAGTTGTTAAAGTGCTTTGCCGATAACACAAGGTCACAAACACGAATCCCTTTAACCCAACTACTTTTAAAACTTACGTTTTTTCATTATTCATTTGTATAACTCAGCAGTGCAGTGTTTTGGACGTTTTTCTATCTCGTTGTTTTATACCTTAAACCATGCCACATTCTCTCAAACCACTTCTCTTAGACAGGCCAGATGCGCCCATTTGCCAAGAGTTCATTCTTGACAAATGTAAGAATGGTTCAAGTGTACAGGCCATCACTGCTCTTTTGCCTTACCAGTGGCAGTACGTCGATGGACAGGAATGGAATAGTTTAAAAGAGCAAGACAACGAAAAGCTGGAACAAATGTATTGTGACGTGAATCTTGAGGAATTTTCCCCCAAGGTCTTTCGAAGATTTTATTTTGGAAAGTATGTTCTATTGTTAAAATGAAATAATTAGCACGTCAAGAGCGTGGGACAAGGAAAAAAATTACCACACAAATATTTTTATGGTCGGACTAATTTATCATCATCATTTACCTAGTGAAGTTAATGAACACTTTTTCAGTCTAAATCAAATCAATGCTATATGAGAAACGTGTGCATAAAAGAGTACGGCCAGAGACCAAAGATAAAAAAAACCTCAGCGTTATAAGACACTGTATGGTGCTCAGTGTCATAATTTCACGGGGAAGGTGCTTGATAGAAAAAATGTCCAACAAAATGAGCTTTAAACCATGGTTTTGCAAAAACGTTGGGGACCAGGAGGCCGTGATATTACAATTTAAAGACAGTAAAGGTTAGGATTTTTGCGTAGACTGAATTGATTTTTCAATATCTTAACTTTTTTCGTACCCCCCCCCCCCTCCTCCTCGCCCCTAGTTACTCCCTGGATGGCACTATCGAAAGTGATAAACCCGTTTAATGTAAAACTGAATGCCTCTTTTAAATCTATTTATTTCAATCACTAATACTCATTTCAATAACTACAGAAGGGCAAATTGATTGAAATAACTGCAAACTGCTAACCTATATATAATTGCTTTTTAGGACCTCGCAACTCTTCATCATCTTTATTTATTTAGATATCATTTACGTTTTCATGATTTTAATTTTTATTCATATAGGTTTTCCATGCGTACCATAACTAAATGTAAAATGTTGATGTTCTTCTGGAAAATAGGGTACAGATCACACAAAAAGATTTTGAAAAGTTCGCGCAAATGAGACGCCTGTCTACCGAGTCTTATGTCAACTCAACCAACTCTCTGGCTACTGAGTGGATATGGTACTGGAAGCACGAAGACGGAGGATGGCGGAAGTATGGACGAGACGATACGGTGAGAAAAATGGAAAAATTTGGGGTCGTGTTTTCATATAATAACTCAACCATCGAAATCGAATCCATACCCTAGCGTCAACATTATATTATAAGTACAAAAGGGGGTGACAGGGGGGAAATCTTCGGGCTGCAAAGATTAGACGTTTCATAGGTTGCCTGTGATGAACCTAGCCTGGGCAGACTCCTTTGTGTGGGTTCGGGGAAAATTTTTGGCTCCTCGTGGGATGGTGTTCCGCCGCCAAAAAGTTTTACCGAGCTTGCAAAAGTGAGCCTGCTCGTAGGCTATGATGAACCGATCCTACAAAAGGATAAGAGTATCATGGAATGTGGCGTTACTTGGGACTAAGGGCGCTCAGTCCATTCAAGCCTAAAATCCAGGAATTTCGGTTTGTTCATCAAAGGAACAGACTATTTCGGTTTGGTTCAACCGGAATATTCGGGACCAGGTTTAAAGGTGGACCATTTTGACCGATCTGGTCATTTCGGTGAGTCGGACCAAAATGTTCCTTTCCATTTGACAAAATTGTTGTCCACAGTACAGGTTTATCGTATCCTGCTGCTTTCGAGAACAAAACCAAACATGCAGTAGCTTAATTGAGTCGGTTCTGTGCAACCAGAATGTACCGTTCCGTTGGGCATGTGGATGGAAATTTTGTTGAATGGAAAGCGCCCTTAAAACCTAAACGCTATCTCGGCCCTACTTTGTACCAGTTACTGAAAACGCATTTGGGGGCCCGTCCAGTGTAGGCAGAGTCGCAGAGTCCCAGTCAAATTGATGTTTTGTCTGTAAATGGTGCTCAGCAATGTGAATGTTGACGTCACCATTCCTCGTCGCTCGTTTGTGTCCGGTCAGTAGCGTGCTAAGGTTTCTGCCGGTTTCACCAATGTAAGAAGCCTGGCAATCGCAGCATTTGATCTTGTGTACTTTGCTCCCTGTCTGTCCTCCGGTTTGTCTTTTTCCTTGACATTAGTAAGCAGTCGTTGTAAAGTGGTCGTCGGTTTGTGTGCAACACGTACATTGTAAGGTTGCAAAAGTATAGCACGTATATTACATCACGGCTTAACTGACAGACAACCAATAACATAGCGACGTAATTGACCAATCGGGTCTATAACCCGAGTATAACACCATCAACTCACGTGATACAACTCACTTTGACGCTGAAGATGACTACCGCACAGGTTGTCGAAACGTCAGTAACTGTCAACAGCAACAGTCCTATTCAGGACTACGTTCACCCGCACGATCAAACTCAACCTACTTTTGAAATGACTCCTGGGTTCAAACCTTTCACACTGTCTATGTATGTAATAACATAGGATATAACGGGTGCAACTTTTGACAGAAAAGCCAAAAGGACCCTTGACGGGATTTAAGGCTTCAAACCCGCGAAAAGAATGGGAAGAGTCACACGCTCGAGAAAATGACTCGCGTCCTTGACGTTCTCTGCGCGCGGCTGCTTCGCTGCCAAGTAGCACTCCTGCACACTGATACCACCAGTCTCGCTACGCTAACTACGTCTGAGTCTTTGGATTAGTTTGCATGTGCAGTTTAATGACGTGTTGAAATTCCATTCACAGGGAAAAGATCTCCAAGAACTTCTAGAGAAAGCCTTCTTGGACAAGAAAAAAGACTCCAGGTTCCGCATTTCAGACCAGAATTACATTTTAAGTTTTGACTCATCGGGTGACATGAGCCAGAAAAACGTATTATACGGTACCGTAAAGAAAGTAAGAAGAAGGCCTGCAAAGTTTGTATCCAAAGATGACATTTCTCAACTTATAAGGTATTTGTGTGATTTTAATTACTGGAAAGGTGACAAACTATGGCCAATGATATGTTCAGAGTATAACAAGACTAATTCCTGAGTATATGAGTGGGGTTTAACGACTATAGGGACAGTCAAATGATGAGAAACAAAACCGAATGCCGGCAAAACGTACAAAAGTCAGTTTCATTCACAGGAAAACGACTGAGAAGGCCTGAAAACAACCTTTGTTCAACTTGATATTGGACCTCCACTTATGGTCAATTGACAGCTGTCTAAAATGGGTATCTACTGAGTTCAGTTTACTTCTTGAAATTACTCCATAAAGACATTTCTTCAAAGATTCCATGAGAGCTTCGCTTTTGGCCCTGGCTAAATCTTTACACAGGGTCAGCTCTATGCATGATGGGGATTTTTTGAGACTGCGGGCCAACAAATTATGTGGGGGCGTAAATTCTATAACTTTGTTTCCTTTAAAAAGTATGTCACTGAAATAAATACAAGCGACAATCCTTGAATTGATTCCAGGAATATCTTGAATCAAGCGTTTCTGTGGTTACCAGTCACGTGACTCTCGTGGCCAATTAAAAAATCAAAACTCCTAAAAGTTTATTTTTTAACTGAGTATTTAATCTGAAACTTTGGTACTTTGCAGAAATACAGAGCATAAAAAATTGAGGAACTTGTCTGATTTGAATTCTCAAATTTCATTTTTTGACGTCACAAAATAAGCTTTTTGATCATGCGCAGTATTAATAAACAATGACGAATTTGAAACAATAACTTAATATGAAAACTACAATAAGAAAATATCTATAGTTCAAGAGATTTAGGTAACATTCCTTGGACATTTTGAATAGTAGTTTGAAAAATTTTTGGCCGATATTTAGCAGTTTTTTCCGTTCAAGTGAAACCCCTGACGATAGTTTCACATAGCACTATCTACTGCTCAGTAACTTATATTAAAACTACTGATTGTGGCACGGAACATTTTTGGAATGTAAGAACAATGACGTGTATGCATTAATCATCTTTTTAATTAGGTCTCAGAACGAAGTACTAGTTAGCAACCAGCAAGGAAAATATTCAAGAGGCGGTTGGGATCCAATGCCATCTACGATGCAATATAAACGTGTTCCATTATCAGGACGTTCTGGCGAATTTAAGCAAGTGGAAAAACTCTTCAGAGAGTCAATAGAGCGGAGGGTGGTAATCATTGGCATTGAACGGGTGCAAAACCCTTTCATGTGGGAAAAGTACCAAAGGTAGACAAGTGCATTAACTGTAAGCTGTACTGTAATAATAACAAACGTTACTGGCGCTTATAACAAACCTTAAAAAAACGAATTATCTGTGAAGACAGAGATTAATTGTGAAGGGGTAATTGAACTTTGTGTGTAGTAATACCTGAGAACTGAAGAAACTATAATTCCCCGCGAAGCGAGACTCCGCAGGCACCCTCGCAAAGAGAGATTTATAATCGTTGCGGTCCGCGCACTCCGCAGATCGCCTACAGATCATAGCGGCCTGCAAACGCGTGCGGCCCATTTATATTTCTTTGAATATTTGTCTTGGTGTCCGCAATGTAATGACCTCATCAAGCGAGAAACATGGTCGATATTGTTTTAACTGTTTTTGCGGCCGTTTTGGCAATTAAGAAATGCCTTTGGTGGTGACTTTCGACGGCAAAAGTATGTACAGAGAACAATGAAGCAATTTGGAACAGTCACTTAAAATAAATAAGAGCGAAAATCGAGATAAAAGAAAACATTTTTCAGTGCGTCTCACTTCGAAGGCAGACGTAGATTGAGGGATATGTTTGTTTGTCCGAAGTGCGTTTCAGTTCGGCTTTTTATCGTCAAAACCTTGCTTTTCCTTGAATGAAATCTGTACCTTTGAATTCATACTTTGTTGTTAACCTTTTTCTGTTTATATAGTTTTTTGTTTTGTTTTTTAATCACGTTTTTCCCTTTAGCTTGTTTCCCTTTAGTCTTAATGCTGATGTATACAGCTTCACGAGGTTTTTGTAATAACATATTTCTAGTTATATTTTTAAAACAGAACATCTTTCTTTTAAGGATACTCTGTTCTATTTACAAGGGTTGCTTGAGGCATTTCACGCCCCCGCCCTTATCTCTTTCAGTAGAGGGCAACCTCGTTTCCAGGTCTCTGTCCCTGTCCTCTTGGGTACGTAACAGGTAAATGGGAGTGAATTTGACGGAGAGATAGCTCGCTAGCGAGGTTAGCATTTAGGTCATCGGCATGCTTCCTTCGCCCTCCTGGATTTGAAATGTGTGGACACGAAATTAAGGTCTATTTAAATTTTTGTATTTTATTTAGAAAAAAGGAAAACATGGCAGCTGCGAAGACTGGTTCCCACCAGGGAAGGTTCGTAAACGAGAGGCAATTGTTTCATGGAACCAGCCCTGAAAATGTGGAAGCTATTTGTAAACAGAACTTTGACTGGCGTCTTCATGGGAAGAACGCAACTGCTTACGGACAGGGAAGCTATTTTGCATTAAACTCTTCCTACAGCGATAGTTACGCTAAGGAAGATTCCAAAGGGTCTAAGTTCATGTTCGTGGCCAAGGTCCTCGCTGGGTCTTACACTACTGGCCAGTCCAATTATCGAAGGCCACCGTCAAAGGAGCCTTCGAACCCAGCAAGTGATCTGTACGATTCCTGTGTTGATGATATGTCATGTCCTACCATATTCGTCATTTTTGATACTGATCAGTTCTACCCGGAGTACATAATCAAATACTCCATATCTCAAGGCAGCTATTAGCAGCCTGCATTAAGAGCACCTGTTCCAAAACCTTGACACTCGCAGGCAACAGTTTGGGACCTTTATCAACCACAACGAAGACGCCAGCACTGAAAACGCCACAATGAACTTCCATTCTCTCAAAATTTATGTTTATTCAGCCTCAGTTTGTCTTGTAGGCAAATTTTCTTGAAGTTAAACTCTTTACGCTGTATTGCACTTGAAAAAGAGAAGGAATAAAATTGTCGTTGTTGTGCACGTGTTTTAACGTCCCATCGCGCAGAATGCCTATTGTTCTCGGGACATTTACTTCCAGTTCGACAAAGTTTATAGATCTGTCATATCACGCGTTATTTTGCGTGGACGCTATGAAAGCGCATCAAAAATTGGTGGCCTTGAACGGACTCAGATGCTCATTAATATGATGTAGGTGGAAAACTAAACAAAGAAGGCAGTTGGCTATTGCTTCTCCTTTTATTCCCAAATCGCACATATAAGCATATTTCGTAACGAACATTTTAAAAACTCACTATTGCATCGCGTTAGTACGTTTGTCGTTGTAGCGGACGTCAAGGAAATATACCAAAAAGTGTGCCTGGTTTTTGTGGACGTTTTCTCTGAAGTCATCGACGTGGTTGTTAAAGCTCTCTATTTTAAGGCTCAATTGCACCCCCTGCAGTCGTAACCAAGCCTTTAAGGCAATGTTACAAGTGACCATAAGCGACGATGATTTTTGGCAACAATTTTAGAACAATATTGTAACAATTAGAACGATATCGCAACAGTGTTGCAAAGCTGTGTTGCGCTGAAAATAGTCGGTACAAAACGTTAATTCCGTGTAACATCGCGTTTAGTCACGGTAGATTTAAGAAGTTATCTGGATTAAGTTATCATGCATAGGGCTTATTAAAATGCATTTGTACATAGTCTTAAAATGGGCCAAGTTTAAGCCTGAGTTAATTTACGTTAAAAGTTCCGGAAAGGAACAGTTCAGTAACGAAGATGTCCACGTTTTTTATTAACTTTGTCCGTTAAGACCACTGGAACTGACGAACGCTTCAAAGTCAGTAAAGTTGTTAATTTGGAGAGTGATTTTGTTGAAAACTAACGACTCATAGCTTAGAAAAGTCGCGAAAATTTCCAGATGTTATTGTGAGGGGTACGTTTGCGCCTTCTCTTCGCTGGCTTCAGACGTATCATTTGAAAACTTGGCAAGTTTACTCAGTAATTTTAAGGTGCTCTTTACAGAAGTGTCGATGAATGTTCGCTTACTGGTCCTTATCAAAACCTGAGAAAAAGAAAACAGTGGTTTTTTCCATTCTTAATTCCGCCTCGTCAGAATGGACCGCCCTAGTAATTTTGTTACCCGCAGTTACAATAGGATTTAATTGTTTTTGCGTTCTTGGCATGTGTAATTATGTGTTCTGCGTATTCTTGACCTCCCTTGTAATTTAGTGTTATACACTACCAAAGGGTTTAATAAACTGATTATTATTATAGTTCACTTAAATGTTTTCGGAATGGTGGTGCACCGATGTGGTGGTTGGAGTGCGCGTATCCGTTGTACAGGCGGTTACCCCTCCTCATCCAGTACAACGTTTAACGTCAACTGCATATTATTTTTCACCCACAGCTGGAGCGAGGCCCATATATCGGGTCCTCAAGTCATTATCCTCCCACGTCTTCAACTACGTACGACTTCACGTGTACCAACAAATTGCAAGAGGTCGACAAGTTCAATGTCGTACTCTGGTGCGTCAAGCTGTGTTTCTGCATCACTTGCACTTCCCTCATCCCTGCCTCCGACTTTCAAAACCAACCCAAAACTTCTTTTGGAGACAGTTATTAAATATAAGTTAATAATTATGTGATTCCCATACTGGTTGTGTTGTTTTTTTGTTTTGTTTTGTTTTGAGTGTAGAAGAAGGAACGTTGCAAAAAAGAATTGTATCTATGGTGAGTTAAGACATGAACGTGTTTCATTAGGAAGTTTGGACCTTATTCACGATATCCCCCATCTTTGCACTTGCTTTAGGGTTGATGGGATAAAAGCAATGTCACGTGATATTTCATGGGACAAACAAGTGATAAAATTTTCCAATACGAGTAAACGCGGTAGAATTTGTTTCAACAAAACGAGACGACTATTTAATATTCATGCAAAACGTATAGTTCGAGTTTCAACAAGTGTTACGTCATCGATTGTTTGCTTTGAGGACCTATAAGGGGTGACCATTCTCACCCCTTAACACACACAAAAGCACATGACATGGCAGCAAGCAAAATCACTTTAAAAGAGGTATTTTAGGAGGATTGTCATTTAGGTTATTTTAGGGCCTGTACAGCACCCGTGTCCAGAGGTGAATTCGGGTTGGCCCTATGTTATAGTCTGAAGGGTTGGTTGTAATCTGGCAAAGTCTTCAGGCTGTTATCGTAAAAGTGAACAATTTTGGTCGATAACAGCTGGACTTTCTAACTAAACAACACTGAAATAATTTACCAAAGCTTCCTAAAATATTTCTCCATGAAGAGCAAAGGTCGTCAAACATTGCTTAAAACAAGGACCGTATGAAACTTAAACAAAGCCTTGATAGCTAGGGTAGGCATTATTAAATTCCCAGTTAACCATCTGGTTTCGTCTTACAGTGAGCCTTTATAGCCTTATTAAGTAAAACAATGTTTATTTCCCCATATTTAGATGACTATCATTACAGCACATGGGTCAAAGTTAAAGAGGCTGTGTCACGGCCGCCTAGTTCTTGTTTTTAATATTGCCAATTAAGAAGTCTTAATCGCTTAATGGAACTGAGCGTGAGAAATTACTTGCAACAGAATCACAGCTTCGCGACAAACAAAATAATGTGTCTCTCGAGCATTATAAGAAACATTTCACACAACAAAACTGAAGTTTGAAAGGCTAACAGGTTTTCCAAAGCTGATTACAATCCGTTCCAATCTTCTAGAACGTTTGTTCATCCTTGCCTGTTTTGTATTTTGTGTGTTATTTATACCAGCCCTTCCTCCTGAATGTTTTGAGCGGTTATTTTCATGTTTCACTTAATTTGGCAGCTGTTCCAAATGTTTTAATTTTGATAAATTTTGCGACACAGCTCCTTTAAAGAAACTTGTTCATGTAACTAGTTACAGCAGTAAACTGGCTTTAGAGTGCCATAACGATGCGTTAACTTATAAGGAACTATTTTTGACATGCCCTGATTAAACAATTATTAACCCTGAATTAGCTTGAATTTATCCAATGTCCTTTCTATAAAGGTATTCGGTTATATGTTTTAACAGCCGGGAATGATCTTTCTCAGCATTCTGGCGAGCAGGCCACGATGTGCATAAATATGTTTTTTAAAGGCCTGTATGACAACGTTGATATTACGAGCAATAGGAAAGGGGCATGTCTTCGTCTCCTTATCGTAGCAGTTGATATAGCTAAGGAATATTTGGGGGACATTTTTGCCTTTTTCCAAGTTTGTTGAGGCCACCTTAACACAAGTGTTCTGCACCCTAGCAGCGCACTCCACGTAGGTATCGTTCTCTAAAGGTAGAAAAAAATCCCTGAGACTTGAATATGGAGACGTTTAATCCTCAAGGCAAACCTGATACTTAGGGACGGACCATTAGAAAAGTGATGGGGGGGGATGGGGAGAAAACCAAAAAAAAAATCATGCAAGGGAAAATGCCAAGAAAAAAATTCATGCAGAAGGAAGGTCCATTTGTGACTTTTTCAGAAAGTCTGAGTTTCAGAAATCAACAATATTACCGGGCACAATATGAATAAACAAAAATCGCTTTCTTCTTCTTGAAAGGAGATAATTAGAACCTTGTTTTTCTTTTAAATTGCAGCTGGTGTGCCTACAACATACACTGTATACTGTATTATAATAAAAATAATAAAATAAAATTTCTAATAAATAAATATTAGAATTTGGCAGCTTTGTAAATATTCTATAAAATTATTTGTGCCCAGAATAAAAATTGAAGGATGGGTCTTACCGCCTTGAATAAGAATTCTATAATACAATGAAAAAGTGCATTCACAGAGGGCAGAGGGGCTGTTTTGGTGAATGGAGTATGGAATCATTATGATGGGCTGTGGAAGAGGAATTCCAGAGGGCAGGGACTGAAAAAATACACAGGGAAGCCGTCCACTCCAAGGGGCTTCCTCCTCTCTCACTGTGTGTACAATTTGGAAAAGATTTTGCATGAAAGTGGCCTGTATCCTTTGATCTGTTGTGAGTGTAGAATGATTTACAAAGTACAAAAACATAGATAATGAATCAAGATTTCACTGTTCAAAAAAAAGTAATATTTGTCTGAAAAAAAATTCGTCCAGAGGGGTTCACCTAAAAAAAAAAATTCCTGCACAAGCAATAAGCGAACAAAAAATTCTTGCAAGCTGAAAATTCACCACCTCCAACCCCCCCCACCTCCATCACTTTTCTAATGGTCCGTCCCTTAATAACGTTTGTGTATGTGTCTAAATAAGCTGTCTAGCTGGACCACAACCAGACCGTAAGCGGTCTTCCTTCTATCCTCAGACTCTTATCTTTTCTTGTTCAGAAGGGCTTGTTTGCTATATAAAACGTCGAAAATCGTTTTTTCACGATTTATTTTCACGATCTATGACATGGGAATACAGGGGGTTACCAGGGGTTACAGGGGGTTACAAGAAATTAAAAGGGGTTACAAGAGGTTACAAGGGGTTACAAGGGGTTAAAAGGGATTACCGGGGGTTACAAAGGATTATAGAAACTTTTTTCTAACTAGAACGTTCCCAGATACTTTTTCTTGGTCTATTTTGCATAAAAATCAAAGTTAAAGAAATCTCTAATTTGTGATTAAAACGATGAACTAACCCCTTTGGAAAAGTTCTAATTTTGCGTTTTTCGTAAACAGTTGTTTTTATAGTCTTTAAAGGCCTTTTTTTTTATCTAGAACGTCAGCAAACCCTTTTTCTCGATCTATTTTTGATAAAGAATACAAAAGATGAAAAAACTTCAACTTTTTGACCAAAATCATGGA